AGTAAGTCAGAAAAACTTCTCGTAAGTTAGGATAGCTGGGGAGTTAAACAAAGATATGCTGCTCCATAACTAACAAATTTCTGCATTCCTGTTGATGCCTGGTAAAATCTTTAGAAAGCTTCAGAGATTTGCAGTTATGTCCTTCTGAGTAGTTCAAGCACCTGTTTCCTTCAACACGTTGCACATATCGTGGAAGTTTTATGTCTGAAATACCAAAGGGTGCAGAAGGTTTTAGGAAATGATTCAGTATTTGTACACATGCTGTGAATTCTCTATACTTTTGTTATACTTTCATTTGTTTATACTTTTACTTATGCTCCAGAATAACCATGCTGTGATTTCTTTCCTTCTTCCTCCAAATTGTGAGGAGTATGGCACCCAAATAACATGGGTACTCATGTTTGCTGCTGCTCAAATCCCCTTAAGCACTGCCCTGCATTCCCAGTGCACCTGGGATCTTGAAGTAGTAACAACACACTGGCTGTAATCCTGATTTGAGCCCAAATGAAAAGCAGCATTCAGACTGACACACTGAGAAAGTCAGGGAGTCTTAGCACAGTAGTTTGCTCTCTAGGGTCATAACCTGCCTCAGAGAGGGGTCGTGCTGGCAGGCAGGTCAGCAAGGCCCAGGTACAGAGCTCAGGAAGTGCTTTTTGTCACACATGCCAGGGCACAGCCAAACTGGTCCACAGATGGCTTGAGCGAGGTTACTTTCTGGTAACATTTTGGGCAGGAACTGGTCTAACAGTTCCACCAACGCTGTCTGTATCAAAGAAACATATTCAGAGATTATTAGGTCATCATAGTGACTTTGCATACTGAAAGAGACATTTTAAAGAAAATTACTTTGGAGAAAATAGTTCTGGATAATGTGTTGTGATCTGAGGCTCCTTAACCCTGATGTGACATTTCTTATTGTGTGGGTCAGCTGTGAAACATGCACAAGTATCTCGTCAGGTGCTGTTATGATCTGTGTATGATCTCCCCCTGCTAATGACACAATCCTGAGGAAGGTCAGGAACCCCATGATAATCAGGCCCTGTACTGTAAAACTAAATCACCAGCATAGCTCAACGATGATTGGAAAAGGCGGAACGTATTCCAAAGTTCAAACTGTGCTCTAGGACTTCCGTCAATATTTAGAATAGATGTAATATCTCCTCCATCATATTATCTTTCATCAGGAAATGGGTCTAAACATTTTCTTTTAGTTATTCTAACTAGTGACTTTAATTATTTTCCAAAGATCCAAAGAGGTCTCTATACCTATTCCTATCCCACTTTGCAGAAGGTGTTATGATACAAGCCCTACAAGAGCCTGCTCTATCTCAGAGGTCACAGTTCGCTTTCTCATCTCTTTCCACTGAAGTCAAATGCTACAGAACTCTACTACTTTAATGCCAACTTAGTAAGAGAAACAAGGAAAGGTTCTACTTAAAATACAGGGATTTTCTTCCTTTGTTTCTGTAGGTGCTAATTAAATACATGTCAATACACATTCCATATTTTATAAAACCTAATCTATATGCCTTCTTCAAGGTGCTACACGCTCATGTTTTTAAGGTTAACTTCATTTTGATGGATAATAAACCATTTCTTAAACATACTAAAAGGTAAGTAATACTAAGCCAAAATAATAAAGTTCTTCCACATCAATCATGCGGTCATCACAAAAAAAACAAACAAACAACCAACCCAAAACCAAACATTTTTAGAATGGAAGCACTGAGAAAATTCTATTTCTACAGTTTTCAAGAGATTTCAATCTAGAAGAGGTCTGACTTGGGCATCTTCCTTGGCCTAAATTAGGTTTCCAAGTAAAAATAGGCTTTATGGATTTCAAATTTAAGGAGACAAATTGATAGAATTAGAGATCACCATTGAAGATGAACTACACTATCAGATATAACTCCCCAAAAAGTCAGTGAATGGTACATCTCGTTGCCCAAGAATTGAAAAAGCTATATCACAAGTCTGTTGGAATCCAGTATTTGAATTTATTCTGCAGTTGCATTCAAAATAGAAATACAATCACTTAAATGCTGAACTCAGTAAGTTAAACACACTGTTAAAAAAGACTGACATTGACTTTCTGCAGATAGGCACAGCTCACCTGGTTTCACTGGAATTAGGGCTACTTTTAGAGCAGTGAACCTCCTAGGCTGAATCAGCAGTTCACACCATCAAAACCATTCTGGTTACTCATGATTACTGGAGGAATTATATGCTCCCTTTGTGTTTTATAAATACTCTGTATATCACATACATAAATTCAACAAATTTGGGATCAGGGCCTGTGCAGAGAGTATCTATCTGAAGTAGTGGTCCACCTCCCAGCAAGCTGTGGTAGAGTTCCTTGGACTGCCTCTAAATTGTACTTAGCCCAGTCTCCACCTTCTGCATATGTAAATAAGGAGCACAACAACAGGCAAAGTTTAATGCTAGAGGTTTTAGATGAGGAACAGAAGCCAAACACCACAACTGTCTTATCTTTAGTCCCTTCTCCCATACACACAGAGCACCTAGTTAAAGTGCCAAAGAGTAAAGCATCATATTGGTCAAATCCCTAAAAAAGTTAAGATTTTTAAAAAATATTAGCTATATAAAAATAATTTTCATGTGTCTATATACATTCTATTTCCCTAACAAAAACAGGTCTCTGCTATACTTGGCCACCTTGTTCAGAAGTTGCTTCTGGATAAATATATTCCAGGTTAATTGAAACACTCTAAAACTCAAGTGACAGAAATCTATGCTAAACAATTTACTTTGTCTCCCATTTCTTTTGCATAAGCAAAACATGGATTCCTTTCAAAGCAGTCCTTTCAAACTGCTTTTCTGTTTTAACTGTCTTGACTCCATCTAGATTGTCCACTAACTCAGGAGGAAAAGAATGCCAGGGTAAGAAAAGGTTCTGATTTTGTGGCTTTTAGTTCTGATGTACTCTTGTTAAAGAAAAGCTCTGCTTCAAGATCTAGCACTCCTCTCTATCTATAGCTATATAAAACAAATTTTAATTTTGGTTTCAAATAAACAGAATGGACTATGAAATTAGACATCTTTCTTCTAGTTTTGTATTACTCTGTAGATGAACTGAAATTTTTATTAAAAACATCAACACACTTTAAATACACTAGCAATTTTCTTTTAAGCTCAAGTTCTCCTTTCTTCAGCTGCTCTGTGCTTCACCAGCCTGTCTTTACTGAAAGTATAAAAAGCCATTTCACTGAATACTAAATAAGGATAGATATTCTAAAAGTGTTAGAGCCCCTAAAATGGGCGTTTGGAACAGGGGCCTCTGAAACTTTTCTGCAGTGCCTAGTGCTCCTTTACACCAAGGAGTGTAAAGGGAATGGCAGAATACACAAAACTCAACAGGGAGTTAACATTTTCTGCCAATGAAGACACCAAAGCTGTTTGATGCATTGTTTTTAACAGTCTTAAATATCTTAAAACATGAAGCACGTTGGAAAAGCCCTCACTGTATCATGTGTTTTCCACCTCTTTTTGCCTGAGCAATGAGAAAGAAAAGTCCTCACTGTTTGGAGTTCAGCTACAGTGGCCAGTATCAAAAAAAGCCAATGTTGCAGGGGGAAAATTTTCATCTGATTTTTTTTTTTTCCTGAGAGTTCATTACCAGTCTTTGGATTATGTGCACATAACTGGCTGCAAAATATCAGGGCTTCAAGGTACCTTTCCTAACTACTACACAGTTAAACTCATCACTGCGAGCATGGGTGAAGCACAGGGATAATTACAATCTCACCTGAGCACGTGACTTATACCAAGATTAAAAGCCTAAAAAAAAGAGATTTTTAAAGAGATTTCAGGTTCCTAGCAGCACAGAGAGTAATCTTTTGAATGCCCCTTCTACCTGTCAGAATGACTAGGTTGCTGAAAATCCTTTAAAAAAGGGCCCTCCACCCTTCAGCATGTCTGAACAATGCTGTAGCTTGAGCTTTGCCTTCAGTAGCTCACATTTTAAGATGCTAATTTCATTTATTGCAAAGAGTAATCTAGGGGTAATACCACAGAATAGTACACAGCACCAGCCTGCTGTCAGTCTGTGCTGGCTACAGCAATGCCATACCTCAAAAAAATGACTGGCTCTTACTGTTGCTTAAAAAAACCTAAAAAACCAGGTTTTTCAGTTAAGGAAAACACACACACACACACATAGCCCCAAAACCAAGCATACACACACGCACAATTGCATGCAAATTTAAGTAAAAAATTCTTTAGAAGTGCAGAGTATCACTAAAGATCCATTGGAGATTTGCTATTTTGACAACTGTGTGATTAAAAGCCCACAAAAAAACTATGGAAAGACAATTAATGACTTAAATGAGCTTTGGATCAGCTGTAAGGGCATTTCTTTATCTATGCACTCAGACTATTATATACAACAGTAAGTTACAGTTACAACATCAAAGAAATGCCAATAATGAACACTTATTTTTGCTAACAAGTGCAAAGAGATTTCTTATGAATACTATCATTTAACAACTTAGCTATATAATATCCTTATGATAAATTAAAGCAAATTTTAAAAAAAATACAGATGCAGCTGTACAAACTACATAAATCGAAAATGTTAATATCTGTATCTATCTATCTAACAAAATTACATCTTCAATAAGATGCTTCCTGTACAGCAACCTGCACCAGCAACATCCCGAGCACTTGGCCACCTATACTGTTGGATAGATCTGAGTTCATGCTGCATTTTTCAAGAGCACACATGCATCTTGTGCTTCCTACCAAGGAAGCAAGGGGTTTATAGATTCAGGATATTCCTCACATAGCTACAGAGTGCTGAGCAGCAGAAAGAATCTTGCATCAGGATGGTATGTTAAGTATCACCTGGTAAAGTTGTTGTGATCCTCAACATAAAGGCTTAGGTATCATTCAGGAACAATGTTGCTTCAACTCAGCAGGTAACTTAAGCTAAGCTAAACAGTATTATCTGATTGCACGGAATGCACAGGCTTTTAAGTCACTGTTTGTCTACGATTTGAGTGCCTTTTTGAGGTCAGAGTAGAAATTGGCCAAGGTACTGGACATGGCAGTGTCTACTGCAGATTGTGGGAGCATCCCCCGCAGTTCAGTCTGAATGTAGCCTGTCAAAAGGCTGTGGTTGGGACAACCCTTGAGGGGAACGCAGAACCAGCCGCAAGGGTGATTGAATCCACGCACAAAGTTAGGCCTCACCTCCCCATAATCGAGGCTTATACCTATTAAGGAAACAAACAAAAAGATAAATTAATTTTACATAAATGAAAAAAATACAGGTGCAGTAAATTTGAAATATACAAGCTGCTTCTTCTTGGGGAATTTAGTAGAAGTGACACATTTCAAGTTTCTGGGTACTTTCATGAATGAAAGTCGCTCTTCATCCAAACTCCACAACAGACAGTGGAAAGAATGATGAGCAAAAATTCAGATATTAAAAAGACCTTCCTCCAATTTATTAGAAGCCAGTTGCTATTCTTCCCAATTTGCTCTGAGTCAGAGGACTCAATTTGTCTCTCCCACTCCTGTCCTACAGTTGACATAAGTGAAACCTGGCACACAGACAAGCCAGTGGTGTTAAAAGACCTTGAATTTACTTGTTTGAGACAATCTTACATCATTTTTGGAATGTTTACTGCAGAACAAAACTGCATTTGAACCAAATCTTAAGCCAAGCAGCTGTTGCAAAATAAGGATTAAGCAGAGGTAAGAGATGGCTTACCACACGTTAGAAGCCCATCTTCATAGCTTGCGGTGTAAGAGAAATCAACAAATTCCCTTGGTGCTATGATGTTCCAGAGCTGGCCAGCAGTTGTATAGCGCATCACACAGCAGTTCTGGTCAAGTGACAGAATAAAGAGGGTGAGAAAACAAAAATAAAATGAATACAGGGAAATTCATGCTTATAGGCAACTAGCATTTCTCACAAAGGTCATAGCCTCTGTCAACTACACTGTGCAAACAAATTCAGTGAAGTCTGAATGGCTGTGCCCTTTTCAATCTAAATGCTGGAAGCTGTGAGGACTTGGGGTCTGCTGCCAAGAGCAGAAAATGTCTGGCACCATAAGGGTTTAAAGACCTAAAACTAGAGAACTGTGCCATGCCTGGGAACTGAAAGCCATGTGGCTCTTATGTCACTATTACTTAGGAAGTCTGAAAGGATCCTGAACAATTGAAAGAGGACTCTCTTGCTACTTAGATGCTCCAGTCAAATACTTTTAATCTACCAAGTGAAAAATAAAATGGAATGTGAACAATTCTTCACAACAGGCTTTCTTACAAGATAATAGAATTTATATAAATTTTACAGAATAATTAGCAAAAATACCTTGTCATATAAATCTTCCCTAAGAAACAGAGCAAAAGACAATCCACCTTCAAGCCACATATCCAGATGAGGGGGTCTGAAGTGATACTGAATGTCTGCAGTAACTAAAGAAAGGCTACCAGCTCTTCTGTAATCAACTTCAAACCTACCTTTCTTTATTTAGTCCTGACCCTTAGTCTGAACTATTTTGTGTCTCAGCACAAAGCCATGCCACACAAGTCAGCCTTTCAGGAAGAGGATGCAGCTTCCATATGTGTGATTATTATTGTTTGTGGAATGGAAGAAAGCAAGCTGCATGAAAAAGCTTTGGCGTATACAGTATCACACTGTAGTTCTCTATACATTAATTTTATCAGAGCTCCTAGGTCCAAGAGAATTGTGACTGACTCCTTCATTTTTAGTGTTGATGGAAAGACGCATGTCAAACTTCAGATCAGGAAAGCCTCATCAGAGGTCCCACACAGCGTGTATGCGCAATGCCTCATGAGCAGAATGAAAAATGTTACTATTTGTAGGGATTATTCCTCTGCTGTACTGTTAAATTCATATATTCATCTATACACATCTCCCTTAAGAATCTAGACAAGTCTTCACCTCTTCATATGTTTCCAAGATGTCCATTGAAGTCATTAAGCTGTCCCAGTCTAGCCTGTAAGGTCCAGGGCGAATATGATCCACTATTCTGTTAGTAACATCTTCCACCACTCCTTGAGCTTTGTAGCTAGAGAAACATACATTTACATTTAAAAGTGAGAAATTTTTTATATCCTAATAATTTGCAACAGTAAAATTACATGTTAATGTACCTGGAGGTACAGTGGACAACTGAATCAGAAAAACAGCACAGAAAAAGACCTATGGGTGCATCTATTCTTCTCTGCAACACATGTTATTCTGAGAAATCTTGTCTTTTTTTCTGCAAATATTTTTTAAATAGCAAAATCCTTCCTTAGGTAAAAATTAACCTTTTTATTTCTCTAATAACTTGTTATTCTGCTCCTCTTGCTAGGCTAGCAAGGGAGTTCACCAGGGAGAAGTAAAACTAAAAAGGAAAAAATAAGATCAGTAATACAATGGGAACAACATTTCTCATAAGGTAGAAGTAATACCAGTAAAATCAAGCTAATGAGAAACTACATTATGCTTTGGTGGCATATAAGAGTATCAAATAAAATAATCTGGTATAGATGCTACAGAACATCCATTTGTTATCAGGTCTTTTTAGAGTTTTTTTTACTCAAGTTATTGGGCCTCCAGTTCCTGAAGGCGAAAAATCCATCAAGAACCATTATTTTCAAAATACTTTGTGTTAACTAAGATGTTCTAATTTATTGCAGATAACTAGTCAAACACTACATTTTCACATGACTTTTGTTTCTTCAGAGTAGCATTTTCTAGTAACTATTTCTCTGCCTAAACCTACAAATACTAAGAAAACCCAGAGACAGAAACTCACATAGGAAGGTCATTCGTGTCACACATCTTTCCCACAACTACACACTTGATATTTTACTCAACTGTAGCCCCATAGTCAATGTAACAGTCCAAGCACTGATTAACACTTCAAGCCTCCTGAAGTCAAACTTGATCCTGTGCCACGCAGACCATCATTTCTGGGCAGATGCTGTTGCCCACTTCAGCCAGTGAGAGTTCTGTGATGTGTTCCACAGACTTCACTGCCTGTTGTTCTAAATATCATGCACACTAAAGTATCAAAGTGTAACACTGCAAAGAAATAATACAGGTACAACAGATAATCCCTTTAGCTTCCACTCTGGCAAATCATTGTAGCTGAGGGCTGTAGAATTCACAACCTGAAGTTTTTAAATTCTATAAAGCGCATCTATGGAACCTTAAAAAAATCATCTGCTCTGCAGGCAAACTTACAGGTATCCACTGAATTCTTCTGATGGTTTACGCCACACAGTCGCATCTTTCTGGAAAAAAAAAAAAAGATATGATGTTAATTGTCACTCATATACAATTATAGGATGTTCAGAAAATGCTTCAATTTTCCTGATAAAAAGCAACCAATTTTACCACTAACTAGGGTTCATCCCAAAGTCTGATTGACTGAGGTGCCTGGGAGATGTTTCAGATATCTCTTGTAATATTCCATTCTTTCAAAAAAATCACACAACTGCCTTTCTCAGTGTAAAATGCTAGAAATCTGCATAGAAATAGGGTTTGGTAGGCCAAGTCAGTTTGCTAAGAAAACACAGAGAATAATGGAACCACATTACCAGGCAAAGCCTTTCAGTTAAAAGGCAACTGGAAAGCCATTATCTGGACGCTACGTGGACAGGAAGACTACACAACTTTTGGTTGCACTCCTGCAACACATAATCAAACAGATGTGTGCAGGAGGTGCTGACAGTGGTAGAAGGGGAAGCTTCCATGCTAAATGCCTCACTAAAGTCTCTTGCAAGTAGTATTTATTTATTTTAAAGATACACAGAGAAAATAAAGAAACTAGTATCTTCTGATTTTTAGCTAGCTATTAAATGGAACCTCTGTACAACATCTCTGAATTTTGGTGTTAAAGACAGTACCATATGGCATTGCTTTATTTGGAGATACGATTATATAAGCACAAAGAACTAAATGTCCAAAAGAACAGTACTGTTAAGTACTGCATCCAGAACTTTTTAAGATAGTTTGGAGCAAAACACATCTCTTTGGTGGTTGGTAAAGCTCTGAATGTCTTTTATAGGCACAGTACCAAACTGGAAAGAAGGGAGAGAAGAAAGAGAGGAGAAAGAGAGGGAGGAAGGGACAGACAGAAGGAGGCAAAAAGAAAGTCCAACTAGAAATTCTACAGGGGTAAAATCTGGAGAGTAATATGATTTGAAACACTGAGATGTAGATAACTTCCTACGGGAATACAACAGTAAATAACATAACACTTAACACCGGAATGCAAGAGCCTTAATAAGTAGTAGAGCAGAGGAGGTACGGGTGTATTGGAAGAGTGAAAGGTCTGGATTCTCTGTTCCTCCCTTTCAAGACAGTGAATCTGTTAATTTTGCAAATAATCAAGTTACATATGGACCACTTGACTCTCTCCTATCAATGTCTGCTCATGAAGGAAAAAAAAAATTAAATAAATGTAAGTCCCACTCAAAACACTGTAACCAAAGGGAAAAGACAGAAATTTACCACACTAGTCCTACCACACTGCTACACCCAAACACATTTCTACCTTCTATGCAAGACGGGACTAACAACTTCACCTAGCGTAGATGCACCAGCAGAGTCTATTTAGCTTGTTGAAGAAGGACTCAAAAAAACCCAGGCAGCTTAAAGGAAGAGAATGGCAAACTGCTTGGAGAAAGAAGGAGCTATATTCCCTTTCATGAAAGGAAACTTGGGATAATGTGAGGGCTCTGAAGGTAACAAGCCGTCTAGAGATACTCTATCCTAGAGGGGCGGTTTCACAGCCCCTGTCTCACCAAAAGTCCCGCAGGACCTGGACAAGAATTTCACACACAACAGCCTCTTTCTGCCGCACAAATGACCCACAACAGCTTCCCCCGGATCACTGACCGGGAAAGCCGCCCAGGGTGAGCGAGCACTCACGGTTTTCTTGGCCACCCTCCACTCTCCGTCTGCGATGCCGTGGTACCGCACAAGCGTGTTCCGCAGCCTCGTGGCCAGGGGGGACGGACTCGGCAGCGGATCCATCTGATTCCCTCCCAAAGATGCCCAATTACACAGATACACGCCAGAAACAAGGCAACAGAATCAGGGATGCCGACACCAGCACGGGGCATCCGAGCGCGCGCGCTCCGAGTAAAGGACGCAGAAGACACCGCCGCACATCTCCCCGCTTGTCAGGAGCTCTGGACGAGAGCCAGCGAGGCCCCGGCGCTCTAGACCCTTCCCAGCTCTCCCTCAGGAACGCGAGCCGAGCGCGCTCCGGGCGCGCTACCGCCGCGCTCCCCCCGCCGCGCGCTCCCGGCCCCGCGCGCTCCCGCGGCCGGGCCCCGCCCCGCCGCGCTATCCTGGGCAGCCAATCAGAGCGCGGCCACCGCCCTGGCGCGGCCAATGGCGGAGCGGTCCGCCCGGCGGGCGCGGGTGGGGTCTCCGCCCTGCCCGCCCCCTTCCGCGTGCGTCAAACGCCGTCCCGCCTTGCTGTCGGCGCGTTGTCCAGGGCCGGGATTGGAGATGGAGCAAGTGGGGTGATGGAGGGGCGGGGACACGCCTGGCCCCGCCGGGGGTGTGGGGACAGGCGGTGCTGTCCTGGTAACGCTGGTCCTCGCTCCGTTGTTTGCGGTGACAGCTCGGTAACGCCGCAGCCAGGGCTGCGCTGCTCACGCGTGCCTATCACTGTCGCTCCGTATTGATGTCCCTGGGTGGTGGAAAGATAAATTACTTGTCGGTAGAATCGCCTTGTGTCGTGAAAATTAAGCACCACTCAGCCGCCCGCTCAACCTCCATTTCCCAACCCCACCCACACCCCCAATCCCCATGGAATGGGGAGGAGAATCAAAATAGAAGTTTTAGGTTGAGATAAGAACAGTTTAGATAATCAAAAATGAAATAAAAATGCAGTAATAGTGGTAAGTGAAATTATTATAAGGGAGAAAAACCCACATATGATGCACAACACGATTGTTCACCGCCCACCGACCAAGACCAGGCCCCCCTTCCCAACGCAGACTGGCCCCTTCCAGTCAACTCCCCCCAGTTTATACACTGGGCATGATGCCCTCCTGTAACCCAGGAGCAAACAGCAACCTGCTGAGCCACTTGGATCCTCACAAGTCAGATGGGATCTACCCAAGGCTAATGAGGGAGCTGGTGGAAGAGCTTGCCAAGCAACTCTCCATCATTTACCAAGAGTCCTGGCTCACTGGGGAGGTCCCAGATGATTGAAAGTTGGCGAATGTCACGCCAATCCACAAAACGGCTGCAAGAAGGACCCAGGAAACTACAGACCTGTCAGCCTGACCTCAGTGCCTGGCAAGGTTATGGAGCAAATCATTCAAAGTGCAATCACACACTTTTGCACAAATGTGCAGAAGGATGGACAAGAGATCAGATTCAGCCAGGGCGGGTTTAGGAGGGGCAGGTCCTGTCTGACCAACCTGATCTCCTTTTGTGATCAGATGACCCACATGGTGGATGAGGGGAAGGCTATGGATGTGTCTATCTGGACTTCAACAAAGCCTTTGATACCATCTCCCACAGCATACTCCTGAAAAAGCTGGCAGCCCACGGCTTGGACAGGGGCACTCTGTGCTGGGTTAAGAACTGGCTGGAGGGCCGGGCCCAGAGAGTGCTGGTGAACGGGGCTGCATCCAGCTGGCGGCCGGTCACCAGTGGTGTCCCCCAGGGATCACTGCTGGGCCCAATTCTGTTTAACATCTTTATGGATGATTTAGATGAGGGGATTGAGTCCATCATTAGCAAATTTGCAGATGACACCAAGTTAGGAGGGAGTGTCAACCTGCTGGAAGGCAGGAGGGCTCTGAAGAGGGATCTGGATAGACTGGAGAGTTGGGCTGATTCCAGTGGGATGAGGTTCAACAAGGCCAAGTTCAACAAGGGTCCTGCACTTTGGCCACAACAACCCCCTGCAGCGCTACAGGCTGGGCACAGAGTGGCTGGAGAGCAGCCAGGCAGAAAGGGACCTGGGGGTGCTGATTGACAGGAGGCTGAACATGAGCCAGCAGTGTGCCCAGGTGGCCAAGAGGGCCAATGACATCCTGGCCTGGATCAGGAACAGTGTGGCCAGCAGGATCAGGGAAGTGATTCTTCCCCTGTATTCAGTGCTGGTGAGGCCACACTCGGAGTGCTGTGTCCAGTTCTGGGTCCCTCAGTTCAGGAAGGATGTTGAGGTGCTGGAGCAGGTCCAGAGAAGAGCAACGAGGTGAAGGAACTCGAGCACGAGTCCTATGAGGAGAGGCTGAGGGAGCTGGGGTTGTTTAGCCCAGAGAAGAGGAGGCTCAGGGGAGACCTCATCATTCTCTACAACTCTCTGCAAGGAGGTTGCAGCCAGGTGGATGTTGATCTTTTCTTCCAGGCAACCAGCATTAGGACAAGAGGACATGATCTTAAACTGTGCCAGAGGAAGTCAAGGTTGGATATTAGGAAGAAATTTTTTACGGAGAGAATAGTCAGACACTGGAATGGGCTGCCCAAGGAGGTGATGGATTCACCGTCCCTAGAGGTTTTTAAGATGAAACTGGATGTGACACTTAGTGCCATGGTCTAGTAACCACAGTTGTGTTAGATCAAGGGTTGGACTTGATGATCTTGGAGGTCTTTTCCAACCTGGTTGATTCTAGGATTCTGTGGTGTGGAATATCCCTTTGGTCAGTTCAGATCACCTGTACCAGCAATGTTCCCTTCCAGTTTCTTTTGCAAACCTCCTCCCTGGCAGAGCATGAGAGAAGGAAAAAAAATCCACTGGCTAAACACAACTTAGCAAAAACGCTCAGTGTGTTATAAACACCATTCTCATTAAGAGTTAAGGTTAAGGTTTTGACATGCTTCAATGTAAAGACCTAGTGGGGGGGTTAACAAAGCCTGGGAAGAAGGATGAACTGCTGAAAAATATGGACTGTGTAAAATTTTCTTAAGGAAGCATGTTCTTTACTGTTTTATCTTTGTGTACTTTCAAGTCTAATAACAAGAAAGGAGATTTAATCCCTGAAACAGCAGCTAACAAGCAAGCTCTAAGTCATTTCCAAGTGTTACATAAACAAATTACTTGTTGGTAGAATTGCCTTATTAAGGATTAGGGCTTGACATGCTTCAATGACCTCAGGCCTAGGGAGAGGTTAACAAAGCTTGGGAAGAAGGATGTACCACTGATAGGGGATACAAGAAATGCAGAATTTACAGGCCACAAGGGCATTTGACAGAACTCCCAAGGTAAGGAAGAAACTAGTAAAGCCAGTTCAGCAATTGTGCTAAAACCAGCCCCAACTGGGTACAAGGTGGTTCCATCAGCAGCAGATCACAACTGGCTCATGGCTGCCAACCCAAGAAATCCACGGGCTCCAAGGAAGAGAAAGACTGAGCAAGCACACTAATTAGCATGAGAAGCCAGAGAACCATTAACTAGTAGAAGATAGAATACTCTTAATAAGAGAACTAGGTAATTTGTAGCTGAGGAACATTAATGCCTTTGTTTGCTGAATTGTATCAATAGCGAAAAGTACCAATTGGCAGTTGTGGTGCTGCCGTTGTGAATTTGCCACCCAGCACCCCTTTCTGTGCAGAACTGTGAAGAAATCAAATACCTTGACTGTGTGTCAAGGATTAGCCTCTTGCACATTGGGTGCAAGAATCTATTTTGGGACAACAGAACAGGCTTCTTTACGGTGGCCTTATAAAGTTTTACACAGGGCTGCAGCTTTCAGAGTCCTGTGGATTTGCTGTTCACATGAAGCATGTTCTGAAAGTGCTAGTGTGGTGGGCAGGAGGAGTGAAGGCTTTCCTGGGTCAGCACTCCCAGATGACTGTAAAAAGATAAAACTCTTGTAAGTGCAGAAAGATAAATGGGTCAAGAAGTAGGTGATTAGAGTGAGGGAACAACAGATCTTCTTTGTGTGGTAATACGCTGTTCATTTTGGGCAATCCTGACTCCCAAACTGAATGTTTTGAATATAGTTGTGTTCTCAATTCAGGATGTTACACCAGACCTTTTGAACTGTCCCTAGCTTTGCAAAATACAACTCTTGATCATTTTTCCTTAATTGAAAATGGGTCTCTGAACAAAGATCACGCATTTAAGGACATATTGAACAAAAGAATGAAAATGTTTTATGTGCAGTGCTTGAAATTTTACAATACACAATCAAAAAAGTAGTTTTGAGTTGAAAGCATAGTAACATTAGAGGAACATCCTTCACCATCTTCCTTCAGACTCCTGTCTTTCTCTGAGTGAAAAAGTGTATGTTTGACCAGTTCTTGGCTGCTTTCTCCATTCCTGCCTGCCCTGTTGCTCTCCTTAAAGACCACGGTTTTCTTGCCTCTGAGTATGACTTTCCTTCCCCATAGGCTGATAGACAGTTTAAAACACTGATGTAAATTGGTTCGGTTTTTAAAGGAAATTTCTTTTTCTTTTTCTTTTTTTTTTTTTTTTTTTTTTTTTTTTTTTTTTTTTTTTTTTTTTTTTTTTTTTTTTTTTTTTTTTTTTTTTTAAGGAGGGAATGACAAGTTTTTATTGAAAAATGCTGACTTTTTTAATAAAACCTGGTTTGTAGAAATGTTTCATGTTTCCATGGGCTGGATGGATTTTAACAGAAGTTTGGCTGGTCTCTTGAAAGTTGCTCTGGCTGCTCATACAGCAAGTTTCTTAAGCTTAGGAGGTCTTTAAGCCTTCTATAAAGCCCGTGGATACTCTTTATTCTCATATTCAATACTAATTTTATGACTTGAGCCAGCTGAGTGCCTTCAGGGCTTTTAAACTGGTTCTTGCTCACAGTAAGACAGTTCCATCTATTCTGGGCTTCCCACCAGTGCAGAGCATAGTGTCAGTGAAGCATATGAGATAACTGATGTTCAGCTAATGCTGTATATGTTTCCTGTGCTATGCTCCTTCACTGGCTACAGCAATACCTGCAGTGCTACCCTAACCTTAACCCTAATTTGTGCCTATTGGAGAAAAGTGATGTGAGGAGGTGAATGTGAAATGTTGCCAACAATGCCATAGCTGAGCTTTTGCTGCTCCTTC